AGAAACCCCTGTAAAACACTGAATTATTTCTTATCAGCCAAAGGAAATGCCAGGTCCCTCTTGGAAAAGCCCTCGAGGCTTTTCCAGCCCCGGGAGGAGCCAGAGGAGCTCCCAGCTCCTGTTCCCAGGGCTTTGGGGAGGTTTTGCCTCCGAGTCGGAGCCGATGCGGATCCACAACAGCCACACGGCGTTTGGGGAAACATTTCTGAGCTCCATAAGGAGAAAAGCGGTGAATATTTACCGAGGTGCCATCGATCACGTGTTGTTAAACACACATTGCCCGATCACCTCGCAAATCGCCCGGCCTGCGAGGAGAGGGAGGCAGATAATGATAACAGATGGGCTGTGGGGATGCTGAGATGGATGGCTGGCTGCTCCGAGAACTCTATTAACAGCTCCTGCAAAGCCTCCAATCCATCGCAGCCCCAGCGTATTGAGCGCAGCCCCGCTCAGGCTTTATGAGAAAAGCAGCTCCATTAAGCAGCCAATTTTTGTCAGTGTGTGGAGGGGTCACTGAGTGCCCCCTGTGCCGCTGGAACACAGAAATCTTTACATTTGTGGTGAGCCCAAGTCGCCTCCGGGGTCAAACGCGGCGGCTGCCTCACGGTCTAAATGACTTCTAACTTGTGTGCTACCTGGAATGCGAGGATGTCAAATGCACTCATTAACTAAACTCTACAGCTTCTGATTCATCCGGAAACTCGCTCTTTTCTAGTTCAGTGCAGGCAAAGCGAACAGATAAAACTCCCAAATCTTCTGCTTCCAAAAGCCGCATCACCTTTCCTTTCTCCCTCCCTTTTCTTCCTTGGTGAAAAATTTCCCCTGATGCCAAAGTGTTTCTTCCACTAAAAGAGCAAGGAGAGATTGTCGACCTAATGTTTATTGTGGCCTTTTCAACATGAGACGAGAACATGAATCCCTGTCGTGTTCCCGATGGGTGCTGCTGACTAAGGTGCCCCTTGATGTCTCCCCATTTATGTCTCCCGTATTTTTAAGGCAGTTTTGCTCAAAAGAGCACATCCCATCACATCAGGGGCTGGGGCACTGCAGAACAACTGGGAAAAGGAGGCTCAGGGGGCACCTTCTCCCTCCCTAAAACTCCCTGAAAGGAGGGGGCAGCTGGGGGGGTTTGGGGTCGGGCTCTGCCCCAGGGAACAACAGGACAGGAGGAAATGGCCTCAAGCTGTGCCAGGGGACGTTCAGGTTGGATATTGGGGGAAATTTCTAACACAAAAAGGACTTTGGTGTTAGATTTTAGGTTAGACATTTCTAACACCAAAAGGTCCAGCCCAGGGCAGGGGGGAGTCCCCATCCCTGGGGGGATTTAAAGGCCTTGTGGATGTGGCACCTGGGGACATGGGGCGGTGCTGGGGAATGGCTGGACTCGGTCTCTGAGGATTCTGTGATTCTCAGGCTGGTTCTCTGGGCAGGGAAAGCCTCAGATTTCTGTTCCTGCGCTGGGAAAGCCGGAGCTGCTGCCCTGGTTTGGGAGCAGCTGGGCAGGGGGAGGCAGGTGCAGCACCAAACCCTCCTGGCAGGTTCAGGACAGGATTCCTCCCCTGCAGCGAGCAGGCAGAGCCGGGGAGAGCGGGGAATAGCCGGGAATAGCCGCGTCTGCTCCGTCTGGCAGAGGAGGTCACCGGGAGGCTGCAGCAGACGGGGAATCAATCTCATGAATCGTGTTTTGATGCACATTGGGTTTGGCACAGAGCAGCACCCGCCCCCTTCTCACCTGCCTCCCCATCCCGTCCTCCCCAGGCTCCATTCCCAGCCCCAGTCGCACTTGCTGGGAAGCAGGGAAGGAAATCTGTGTGCTGCACATGCATAAATAATACAACTGAAATCAGACTGGCTTAAAAATAGATATTCACACTAATAAATATTTTACCTACTGTCTTTAGGCTGCAAAGCTCCCCCGACCGAAGTGTTAAAACAAACCTCGTTGTTGGCCCCTGAATGCCCGAAGCGGCCCCGGGTGTGGCTGTGCAAACCGTGCTGCCCTGGGGAAGGATCGTGGTCACCTGCACACAAACACCTGCCCTCAAAGCCTCAGGAAAGGTGGCCTGGTGGCCTTTTGGCTCCCAGAACAGAGCTTTGCATCCAACTGACTCATCTGGTGACCTGTGAGTTTAACTAATGAAATTGGAAGATAGGATCTCTCATGATATTTATGAGTAACATTCTTCTTTCCGTATCTTTATTTCTTCCTGCCCAAAAGTGGAATTAGAATTAGATGGCTGAATAAGGCAAAACAAAGGACACTGACAGAGCCTGAGATAGGAGGATTTTTCATTAAAAAGAGTGACAGGTGGGAGAATGTGCCCAAGTGTGTTTCTGGAAGATAATCCTTCATTTTGGGCTTAGGGCATCACTCACTGGGCCTCACCTGACATGATGCTTCCCCTCCCTGGATTCCCTGGGAACAAGGGGGCAATTTATTCTGTTATTCTGTCCGGAACCTGGGGCTGCAGGGTTGATTTTGTGTGGAAGGGGGGCTCCTGAGGGCAGTGCTGGCACCACATCTGCCCTGGCAGGGAGCTTTGGCCGCAGGGAATGCCGGCCAGCAGCGCTGGGAAAGGGGCAATAAACAGGAGAGGGTGAATCCCACGGGAGCCGTGGGTTGGAGAGGCCAGACTGGGATCCTGTGGATGTGTTTCTGTGGGAGCAGAGCAGGGCTGACGGTTCCCACCCTGCAGCCAAGGCACCAAGGAGCCGAGCGCTCCCCGTGCCTGGAGCACGGCTGGTGAGCCTGGAGCGCTGCTGGGAGGGCTGGAGACACCGGGAGCACCTCGGGGACACCGGGAGCACCTCAGGGACACCGGGAGCACCTCGGGGACACCGAGAGCACCTCGGGGACACAGGGAGCACCTCAGAAACCCCCCTGAAGGGACAGCCAGGACGTGGTGAGGGCACACACGGCTCCACAGCCGGCTGGGAACGGGCAGGGCTGGGCCAGATGTGCTGTGCCCGCTGCCAGCTGTGCCCTTCAGGGGATTTCTGGTGGTGCCAGGCCAGGCACACGCTGCCCAAAGCTCTGGCAGCCGGGATTAGGCTCCATCTGTGCAGCCCCACGCGCTCCAGGGAGATTTTCAGGTGCAGCGTTGGGATTGTTTCTTCTGACCCTGCCGTGGCAGGAGGTTGGAAATAAAGATCTTTAATGTCACTCCCAGCCCAAAGCGTTGCAGAATTCCGTAATCCTCTGGTTTGGTGTGGCTGCTGTTGAGGAATTCATTAAAGGTTAGCAGAAACACAGCCATAAGCGTTTTCTGCACTTCATCCTGATAGCAATCATGCAGTTATGATCAGCCATCAGCACAAAGCACCGCCAGGCAATGAATCAGCTCCTCAGGAAAGGAAGGGAGCAAAAGCAAACGCTGCCCACCCCAAGAAACATCAGTGCTCATCCTCAAATCTATTGTAAAGAAAGGTCTCTGCATTTAAAATATTTCATGAGCGTAAAGACACGGAAAGTATGAAAATGAACGGTTCTGTAAATCAAATTACACGTGTATTCTTTCATTTCTACCTTGAAATAGTTTTTACACGTTCAGGCATTACAAACATGAACGTGGTGGGGCTCGATTACTGCCAGGAGCAAACACTGAGGAACTTCCTTAGCAGCAATATTTGATATTCATTAACCTTCAGGTAACACAAGGAGGATCTGTGCCTGAAACACTTCCCCTGCTCTTCCTCACGTGTGAACACGAATCAGACACAACTGCTGGGGGCTGTGCCCCCTTTCACCGTTCTCCTGCTCTTTTTCCCCACAGTAAATGACCACACCACACAAAGCCCAAGAACAGGAATGGTGCCTGACACACCAGGACACACCAGGAGACACCAGAACACACCAGGACACAGCAGGACACAGCAGGACACACCAGGAGACACCAGGAGACACCAGAACACAGCAGGACACACCAGGACACACCAGGACACACCAGAACACAGCAGGACACACCAGGACACAGCAGGACACACCAGGACACACCAGGACACACCAGGACACACCAGGACACACCAGGACACACCAGGACACAGCAGGACACAGCAGGACACACCAGGACACACCAGGACACACCAGAACACAGCAGGACACACCAGGACACAGCAGGACACACCAGGACACACCAGGACACACCAGGACACACCAGGACACACCAGGACACACCAGGACACACCAGGACACACCAGGACACAGCAGGACACAGCAGGACACACCAGGACACACCAGGACACACCAGAACACACCAGGACACACCAGTGTGAGCCAGCAGCTCAGCACCAGACATTGATTTTCAGCTTTATTCCAGGTGATCAGCTCTGCAAGTGCAGAGTGTGCAGCTTCTCCAGGGACAGGGAAATGGCCTCGAGCTGTGCCACACGAGGACAGCAGCAGGAATTTCCCCATGGAAAAGATGCTCAGGCCTCGGCAGGGGCTGCCCGGGGAGGGCTGCAGTGCCCATCCCTGGAGCTGTCCCAGGAAGGGCTGGACGTGGCACTCAGGGCTGTGGGCTGGGGACAGGGTGGGGATGGGGCACAGCTGGGACTCCCTGGGCTGGGAGGGCTTTTCCAAGCGCAGGGATTTGGGGATTTTGGGATTCTGGGATTCCCGCGCCAGCCCGCGCTGTTCCCATGGCAACGCGCAGTCACCGCGGCGGCGCGGCGTGTCCCGCTCGGCGGCCCGTACCGCGGGGCATTGTGGGCCGGGCAAGATGGCCGCCCCCGTGCCGCGGTGCTGAGCCGAGCCGCGCTCGCCGGCGCCCCGGGACGCGCGTCCCGCCCGCCGCCGCCCGCCCCCGGAGCGCAGCTCGCCGAGCCGCCCTCGGCCCGACGGTGTGCGAGGGAGCCGCGATGGGCCGGGCGCGGTGCCCGCCGCAGGGAGCGCGGGGCCCGCGGGGGTAGAGGTGCGAGGGAGGCCCCGGGCCCTGTCCCCGCCGGCCCCTCGGTGCTCCCCGGGCCGCGCCACCGAGCCCAGCCGGGGCCACTGCCTGCGCCAGGTGAAGGCGCTGCGTGCTCCGGGTCCGTCCTTACCCGCGCACCGGGGAGCGCCGACCCCCGCTGCCCTTGGCCCGTCCTCCCCCTCCGGCCGGAGGGACCCCGGGCCCGCTGGGGGCCGGGCTGGACATCGCTGCCCAGCTGCTGCCCCGCGCTTCCCCGCACATGGAGGCTGAGATGCTGCAGTCGCCTCTCCTGGGGCTCGGGGAGGAGGATGAGTCCGACCTGACGGACTGGAACTTGCCCCTGGCCTTTATGAAGAAAAGGCACTGCGAGAAGATCGAAGGCTCCAAGTCTTTGGCTCAGAGCTGGAGGATGAAGGACCGGGTAATGCTCCAGGGCAGGATGGGGTTTGGAGGAGGAGCAGTCGGGGGACAGGTGGAAAAGGAGCCCGAGCTCAGAGGGAGCTGAGCTGCTGCCAGGTGAAGCGCTGGGTGTGCATCCCACGGTTTGTGTGGCAGCCGTGTGGAATTAGGGAAGCAGAGCTGCAGATGGGTTGGAAGCACTGACTCTGTGCTCACGGGCTGGGTTCTTGCAGCAGCTCCATCATTTGGGCTCTTTAAATGAAACCTGGGTGCCCAGTATGTTCGGGGCAGGGCAGTGAAGTGACCGAGGTGGGGAGGAGCAGGTGCAGGAATTGCAGCTGTCTGCAGGTGCAGGAATTGCAGCTGTCTGCAGGTGCAGGAATTGCAGCTGTCTGCAGGTGCAGCTGCACAGGAGCTGTGTGGGTTTGGAGCGTGCCCCCAGCGTGGTGTGAGGTGCAGAGCGAGGCTGTCCTTGCACGTGGAGAAACAGATTGTGGGGTTTTGGAGGGAGGAAGTTGTTTTGAGATTGTTGTGGTTGGTGACGTGTTGTGTGTTAAACTGACAGTGCTGGCAGTGACAGATGTCCCAGCTGGGACTGCGTGCCACCCTCAGTGTCTCAGCAAAGAGCAAACAAAGCACCTGGGAAATGTTCTGGACCATCATCTCCACTTGTTCTGTTCCTAGAACAACTCTGCTTTGGGTTCCAGCCCTCCCTGGCTCTCCCAGCTCTTGTACCCTCAGCTTTGTGCTTGTAGACACTTGTGGCTTGTCCTGGTCACCAGATTTGCATTATGTTTGTGACCCCCTTGCAATGGGATGGAATAACTCACCGAAACTGCAGGCTGGGATTTCTTTGTAGAGGCCATATGCCCAGGCTGTCCCTGTCTCTGTTCCCAGACTGGTGATTACATTTCTCAGAAGTTCTGAGCCATGAGGAGAACCATGGACTGCGAATGGGACTTGGCAGATCACTGCTGGGTGAACTGAGCGTTTTGGGTGTGATTTAAAGGCAGCACAGACACCATGGTGGGTGCTCTGGCACAGAGGAGACTTTCTCCAGCAGCCTGTGGAGGTGTGATGAGCTTGCTGCTCTATTTTAGGTGTCTCTGCCTTCCTGGGACGCTTCCTGCTCCCTCATTTCCTGATCTGCAGAGTTGCCTGTTCTAATTTGGGAATGACTTTGGCTTGGTTGGGCTGATCAATGGGTTGTGCAGCAGCAGCACAGGACCAGGGGGGTGATCAGGGCTTCTCTGTGGTTGGTGTGAAATGTTTCACGTGCTTGTTACGATCACATCCCAGCCTGACTCCTGTGGAGCTGCAGTTTCCTCCTCCGGGACTCTCCCGTGCCATAAACGTCGTGGCTGTTGCTGCTGCTGCTCTCTGGGGTCGAGCTCAGTGGGGCTGGGCCCTGGGTCACTCCCCAAGACACTGAATCTGACTCTTGTGAAGGAAGAACATAGAAGCAAATCTCGAATTTTTGGTTTAGTCCTTCTGCTTTCTCTGTCAGCTGGAGCCAAATAACTTCACACCAGGGCCAGTGGTGCAGCTCAGGTGTCGTTTGTACCAGGGCAGCTGCATCAGGGATCGTTTGGACAAACTTCCTGTTGTGCAGAATTACTTTTTGTTTAAGACCTGGTGCATAGGAAGATACCAAAAGCACATAAAGACACCTGAGAGAAGAAGAGCAGCTGATTCGAGAAAGCTAAAAAGAGGAATAAAACACAAGACATGAAAAAAGGCTGCTGAGATTTAAACGTGATGAGGTTGAGCAATCTCCTGAGTACTTAATGAAGTAACAAATGCTGAACCTCAGCTGGGGAGGGAAGGGGATGAGGATGGGGTTTGGAGTGCTGCAGGGGTGATGTCTGGTAAATATTTCCACCCAGTGAGCTCCAGTTTGGCTAATCCTGCAAAACAGTTCAGAAGATCTAATCTGGTTTGCCCTGCTGTCCGTGAGCAGCGGGTGGAGGGCAGCTCACCCAGGCTGCTCCTTTCCCATGGCCTGGCTGGAGGTGGCAGCTGAGGTGTGACAGGTTTGTCCAGGGAATGGAGCACCTGGAGAAAACCCCGGGAACTTGGGCTCTGTGGGCTTTTCCTGGGAAGCAGTGGTGGTGTGAGGACACAGCCTGTGCCACCAGGGTGAAAGCTGTTGGTCTTTCCCTTTTTGTTCCTGAGCTGTTTGGTTTTGCTCTCTGGCATTACAAATTAATTACTTCTTGTTTTAACTGTCTTCAGGAAGTTTCTTCTCCTCCTCTTTCCTTGCCTTCCAGCACTGTCCCACTGTGGCTGCAGCCCTGTCAGTGCCCACAGCCTCTGGTGTCCCTCTGCTCCTCCAGCCCAGCCCACGGCTCAGCCCCTTCCTTCCTTCCTGCACTCCCAGTGGGAGGCTCTGTCCCCATCCCCAGTTCTCTGCAGCTCCTTTTGTCTCTTGGCTCCCTTTCTCACAAGCCAGGGCTGATGGAGCTGAGCTCTTCTCCAGGGGCTGCTGCTGCAGGAGCTTTCTGGAGGATGGGAAGTGCCTGTGGCTGCGAGCTGTGTGTGGAAAACATCCCAGTACCTTCAGTGTGATAAATGAACTCGTCACAGCCCGGGCTGGGGACCATTCCCTGGCATTAAACACCCCAGCCTGTCTCTAAATGAAGAAGTGCTCAAAGGTCAAGCCAAGCAAGGCTCTGGCAGTCCCAGTGCAGGTGAAGCCGTGGCATTTTCCCCTGTGAATCATGGAAGCCCCAGGCAGTGGCAGATTCTGCCTTATTCATCGAGGAGTCATGGGGAGTGATCCCAGCTCCACTACAGTTAGAGGAAGTGATTCACAGATTTGGGAGTGCAGTGACTCTTCTTTTCATCTTGCTTTGTTGCTCTAAAAACCCCAGAGTTTATGTGAAGTTGAAGGTTCTTTAGAAGGCAGAGCTCTGATAAGGGGAGAATCAAATCAGAATAATGAGTGGTAAATGTAGAGAAAATAAGCGAGAATTCACTGGTGTCCCCCGCCCCTTCCTCCATGAGGGCTGCTCTGAAAACATTTAATCCTTCCATGGACTGCATATGCCATAAAAGTGACACTGCTTTGATCTATTATTTATTTAAAGAATATTTTTAACACAAGAGGGTTGGAATTATGCTTTGTGTATTGAATTAAATCTCCCGGCCTCAGTTGCAACCAAAGCATATAACTTGATTTAAAGAAAAAGACTCCCAAGTACACCAGGTTTTACTGACAAGTTGCTATTAAATTCAGAATATTTAAATTAAGATTTTCTGTATTTATATTGATTTCTAAGATAAGCAGAGAGCAACAAAGCTGATTGTAATAGTTTTACCTCAACATTTTTTTTTCCCTGCTGCCTCATAACTTGCTGAGTGAGAATTAAATCCTGTTTTTATGAGAAGAGGAATCCACAATTAGGTTTCTTTGGAAATGCAGATTAAAGCAGGACTGCATACAAATGTGCTTAATTCAGATGAGCAGAGTTTGCCTGCTCAGGAAACCCAGGGAAGTGTCCAAGGCCCATGGGCTGGCTGGGTTTTCTGGAGGGTTGGGCTGTGCTTTTCTCTCAGAGCTGGTTTGCAGTGCCTTGCTGCTGGGCTGGCCTTGTCCCCTGGCCTGTGCAGAGGTGACTGAGGGGTTAATGATCCCTGTGGGACTGCAGCTTCTGGCACTGCCAGATCTGATAAACCCATTGGTACATCTGATGTTTGTCTTGTTCCTCTGCTCTTCTCTAGAGAACGCTCTGGAGATGCCTCTTTCAAGGAATTATTAATTAATTATCTGATGAATTATCTAATGAATTATCTGATGAATTACTCAAGGCCAGGTTTGTGTTAATGCCATCCTTCAGTGCCAGGCTGTGCTGTGGGGTGTGATGGGTGACAGGCCCAGGGGCTGAAGGATTCCTTTTATCCCCTTTTCCCGTTGGCTCTGCCAGCAGCACCCTCACCAGTATTTTTATTTCTGTGTTTGCACTTATTGACCTGTGCTTGCTGAACTGGGACAGGGTGACCTCCAGCTCTTGCTGGGTGGGGATGGAGCAGAGGGTAATTAGTGCAATTAGTGCAGTGCTGTGCAGAGGGGAGAGCAGGGGCAGTGCCCAGAGGAGGGGGCAGTGGGAGCAGCCAGGGTGAGAGTGGAGCCCTGTGCTGGAGTTCTGCTGGGCTTCTGTGGCCTGGCAGGGCCTGCAGCAGAGCTTGGGCTGCAGCGAGATCTGTGCCCTCTCCATGGCACAGTGAGGTCTGTGCCCTCTCCATGGCACAGGGAGGTTTGTGTCCTCTCTCTCCATGGCACCGGGAGGTTTGTACCCTCTCCATGGCACAGGGAGGTTTGTGTCCTCTCTCTCCATGGCACCGGGAGGTTTGTACCCTCTCCATGGCACAGGGAGGTTTGTGTCCTCTCTCTCCATGGCACCGGGAGGTTTGTACCCTCTCCATGGCACAGGGAGGTTTGTGTCCTCTCTCTCCATGGCACCGGGAGGTTTGTACCCTCTCCATGGCACAGGGAGGTTTGTGTCCTCTCTCTCCATGGCACCGGGAGGTTTGTACCCTCTCCATGGCACAGGGAGGTTTGTGTCCTCTCTCTCCATGGCACCGGGAGGTTTGTACCCTCTCCATGGCACAGGGAGGTTTGTGTCCTCTCTCTCCATGGCACCGGGAGGTTTGTACCCTCTCCATGGCACAGGGAGGTTTGTGTCCTCTCTCTCCATGGCACCGGGAGGTTTGTACCCTCTCCATGGCACAGGGAGGTTTGTGTCCTCTCTCTCCATGGCACCGGGAGGTTTGTACCCTCTCCATGGCACAGGGAGGTTTGTGTCCTCTCTCTCCATGGCACCGGGAGGTTTGTACCCTCTCCATGGCACAGGGAGGTTTGTGTCCTCTCTCTCCATGGCACCGGGAGGTTTGTACCCTCTCTGTCCGTGGCACAGCCCCAGGAGGGAGCTGAAAGCCCTTGGAGGGATGGAGGGGATGAGCCTTGTGAGGCAGGGCCAGCGTTCTGTGCCTTCAGCACAGCCTGAGGCTGCACGTGAGCTG